ATCGTTTCGAGCCAGTCGCATTAGAAACGACGGGCACATATGGTGAAACGACTGGTCCTTTAATATCACAGATTGGCCGTCGCATTACGGAATTGTCCGGCGAACGTAGAGAGACTCTTTGGTTGGAGCAAAGGTTGGGTTTGGCCGTGCAGAGAGGCAATGCAGCTAGCATCCTAACAGCAGTCAGAGAAAAGTTCGACGTGGGCCCGCTCCTCGCTCGCGTCACAGCTCAGTGACCCTCGGAGTAGGTGTAGGCCACCATCAGAGGCGTTAAGATCGGGGCCCTGATCATTGACATGAAACCATTCCGTTTTTAATTAATAAAATCAATTCCCTTTTTTTTTGTTGGAATGGTGAGTGTGGGAGGCCTTAAAAAAATTAAAAAACATAGACTAGTATTTTATGATGAAAATCGTGAAAAAAATTACATGCATTTTCCGTTGAGTTATAGTAAGGAAAGTAAAAAGTTGGAAAAAAGCTGCTCAAACTTTTCGTCATAACTTTTTCAATTTCACATTTGTTCAAGATCTGATTTCAGCATCTTGTGCGTCTTGATAAGACGGAGAGATTCCTTATGGTCAAAATTGAAAATGTTTACGGTTTGGCCGTAAAAAGTAAAAAAAACGCCAAAAAATGGCACGCCTTTTGGTTCAACTTTGACCGTCAAGTTTGGATTGAAGTTTTCAAGTTTGAGGGAACTGTTGATGCTCAATGGCTACTTGAACTCTTTTTTTTTGTTTGTAATCATAGCGTTGCCGAAAAGTCACTTTTTTCAGGAAAAGTTCAACTTTACCCCCTTTTTTGGGGAGGAGCACTTTTTCGGACATGACCTCACTTAAATTTTGAAGAACTTTTATTATACCGTCGATTAAAAGTTGTTTCAGGAAAATCTATCGAGCCGTTTATGTTTTAGACAAGTTTGAACACAATTATTACCTCAACCCTCAAAAACAGGATACGGTAACGAGCGTGTGTGACAATGGCAAAGTTGAGCTCTGGCGCGCGTGTCTCGCTGCGCTCTGTGCCGTCGAAATATTTCATTTGAATACATTGACTTTACTAGCAACCTATCTCTACTTTGAAAAATGTGATAATAATGTTGCGGAATCGAAAATTACGATTTGAAGGCGATAGTGGTATTTTTAAGTGATTCTCTCTGTGCAGGCTCTTGACTTGGCAAGGAGCTTTAACTGCATAACAGAGTTCATCCCTGACGCAAAGGTATGAAAAAAAGTACAACTCCAATATAATAAACCTCCAGAGGGCGCTTGTGAGGCACTATACAGTATTTATGAGTAGAATTTTGAGGAGTATTCATATCTCAAAATCTTTTAAATCCTCTTATGGTTTCCGTTGGTTTTCCTTTTCCTGTGCGACGCGCGATCTCATGATGTAAAAGTTTCATGGGGTGTGTTGTAGTAAAACTTTCCAGGTGATAAATTGTGAACAAAATCAATCAGGTTGTCGCTACTTTCACAACGTTAACCCATCGAGATTTCCAAATCACGATCTAATTTGCTCGATCAACAGTGTTGAGCCAATCTATCAATCTCTGTTTTGGGTTCTCAGTGAAATATGCACCAGTTGATGATTGATTTCCGGGGATAGAGTTGAGATTCAAATCAAGTTACGGCTTTCATTCCATATACCAACGAGATTTCCAGCACTTGAGCCATCATCGTCATGACAGGCTTGGCTCCAGTCTTTAGATTCCGTGAGTCAGGAAGAAACGAGCAAATTGTCAACTCTGTCCTCACCGATATGTTGGAGCTGTACGAGTAGCTGGGAAATTTGTTCGAGACTTCCATGAGTTATGATAGTGTTTAATTGTCTTTCCACAATTTACATTGATGGCTGCATGATAGAGTAAATCAGCCTACACTTGTTGCAGACATGAGCTGATAGTGTTTTAATTATCCCAACATGTCACAGGCATGGGCCGAGTCTCTAGACAAGCTGGCCCCAGACGAGAGACGTGCTCTTCACGGGCTTCCCGTCAGCGTCAAAGACAACGTCATGGTCAAGGGCTTGGACTGCACGCTGGGGCTGCTCAAGAAGGTGGGTCAGCCCGCCCCTATGGACGCAGATGTCGTCGCGGTCCTCAAGGAACTCGGGGCCGTGCCCTTCGTGAAGACCAACACGTCGCAGCTTTGTATCAGGTAACCCAGGGATTCGTTCACAGATTCCGTAAGGTTCACATCTATTCGAAACGGCAAATGAGTAATCTAAAATTTTCACTAAATTTTAGCTTTAAAGGGCCTATTTGTGAATCCTGACTTTTATTAAATCATCGGTAATGTTACTTCACTTCTCCAAAAGCATGACGCAGTGAAAGTTATTTAACCATTTCATAATTATAACATGAATAGAATAGAAACAAATTTTTCGCGTTGTCTGGGAGAGGGTCAAAATTAACTAAAAATTCAAAAGAATTTTTTCTGGAGATGGTCACATTCACAATTGGATTGACTCGCTAATTGTGGTTGAAATCAGGTTCATCATTCAGAGTCAGGAAAAAACACATAAAAATTTTAAAACAGAGATCCAGAAGAATTCCAGTAGATGCACTTCCAGTATTTTAGGGAAAACCACTCTCTCCGGAAATGTCAGTAACGAGTCTTCAATGTTCGATTCTCCCACTCCCTCAAGAGAATCAAGTGCGACATAGCGTGTGAAGATATAATCATTTCTGAAATTCACGATTGAAATTATCTACTTCCCAGCATTGGCTGCTCGAACCCTCTGTGGGGCGCTGCACGACATCCGCTCAACGCAGCGAGGACCCCTGGTGGCTCCTCTGGTGGGGTGGTCGACTAGACTGATCATGGATGATTCCTCTTAGTTAATTATGAGGATTTAATTAATGATTTTACCACGGAAGATTATATAGCGATTGAAGAGCTAAGATATTTCTTTGCATGGAGATAGAAATATTATGATGTCACTTAATTTTGCACTCTGAGGTGATGAGCTGATTTCCCAAAGTTAATGTAGGTTAGGTAAAATGATTTGGTTTCAGTTGTTAATTTGAAGAACGGTGAACGACTAAATACGGTATGACTGTCGATATTCCGACAGTCAGTCAGTCCAACGTATAAAATCAGGCAATGAAGGAGAGAAAGCTTCATATTCCGTCATGCGTAGAGCAAAATGTGAAGGCTTCCTCGTATTTTATGAGGCTGGGAAGGGGTTCTCATCGGCGGCGGAGGTCGGTGTTGGATATGGCATATTAGGTTTCGAGGCTTCACCATATTTTGTAAAGCGGTGACGGGGTTCTCATCAGGCCCCTCGTGACTACCTTGTTGTGAAGTGCTTGTGAAACGTGACTTGTGCCCAAGGATTGGACCACTCACCACTCCTCCTGCAAAGGTATTTTCCTGCCACTAGGATTTTGTGACTTATCTTTTTTGCCACTATTTCTTTCATTCTTTGTGTACAAATTTGCCACTGCACCCCACTAACCCTAGACCTTGCGCGGGTCCCACCTTATGTCCCTCCAAGGCAAACCGTAACGCTACATAGCTCTATTTCAAGGGGCAAGGTAAAGGCCAAGGGCGCTAGCGCGCGCGAGTCGCTCTGCTCCGTGCCGTTGAACTAGCGAATTAACCGCCACAAGCTCTATAGTTCTGAGAAAATACGACTCATCTCGGAACGCGTCTGTAGCTTTTGTGAGGCAAGACTAGCCACCCGTTGCGATAATAGAACATCTGCGTGAAGTTAAAGCGAAGCATCCCATGGAGGAAAAAATAAGACAATGAAAGGGAGAAATTATGATAGCAAAGGGCAATATTTAGTTCGAAAAAATTATTAACAATAGCATTTACCGGTAATGCAGCATTCTAGTCACTCATCATAATTGTTTCACGTTTTCTTTCCATCAAACATTGTTAGGGCAAGTATAAGAACAAAAAAAATATTAATAACAGTTGACAGTGGAGATTGAGCCACTGTCATATTATATTAGTTTATTAAATAATAGGCAAATAAATTGAAAAAATAGACGAATTTTAGCTTTGTAACAAATTATTATTCTATTTATCAATTTTTTCAAATTGAGTATTTGACTTCAATTTCTTAAATTGAAAACATTTAAGTGAATTATGACAAGAAATAACAGAAAGTCTAATAAATAAGTGTCTAATGCACATAATTACCAAATGAGAATAAGCGTCTAATATAATAAGAAAAAGTGTCTAATTCAAATTAAATTATAAGGACATGCATTTCAACATTTTTCAAACAATTCAACTGTATTAAATTTTCAATTATCACACCAACCTAAAGCATTTCTTACAATCGAAATAATTCGAGCTGCAGCGCATTGTAACCACAACTTTTAAAATTTCAATAATGAAGCTCTGCATAATAATTATAATAAAATTCATAATAAATTTCCGATAGAACTATATAGGAGAATATTGAAGCCGGCATGGAAAATACTTTTTACAAAATATTCTGAATATTCGTTTGACTTTGAACCGTGTATGTAAGCAAGTAAACTCAAACCCTTCGATATTTCTTTTGTTAAGATAAATAAAATAAATAATTCATTGCGGGTGAGAGAAGCTATTAGATGCTGATAATCGTGCATTTCCGTTATGCAACACAGACGTTGCAAGCCTGTTAAGGATGAACGCATTCCGAGCCATTCAACAGGAACAATGAGCTGCTTTTTGCGGGCCAAATAAGGGCAAATTAGCGGAAATTTTCAGGCATTTGAGGGAGCTTATTGGCAGGTGGGGCTGATAGGGACGTTAGATGAGGACACAAAACAGGGCATTATTTTTCAGGTCATTAGAGTGCGACGCGCGCTATTAGAAGCTGAATTCTGTTGATGCTAAATTCGCGAGCATCGGATCAACTGATAGCACGCATGCGTATCAATAAAATTTTGCTATAATGATCAAACTTATTTCCTTGCTTTGACGAACAAAGTGAGACCATGACAAGCTGACGATCAAACGCTAGTAAAATAGTAATCAAATTCAATAGGTATTTAGATGGTCGGTAGGTTCCTGTTGTATAATGGTTATCCAAAAGCCTCCTTAATACCATAATAATAGCCTCCGACCTTTTCGGTCGTGAATGATCGCTGAAAAATCCTTCCATAAAAATACTATCCTTCATGGTTTGTACGTAAAAAAATATAAGTGTCGATCTGTCGTTTTCTTTGTTGCAATTCATTACTTTCGACTGACATTAAGTTCCCACTGTACTATACCGATGATAATTTTCAAGTTGTCAAGAACTCAAGTTTACCTGACCGAGGTCAAAGGCGGGCTCGGGCGATAGAGCCGCGATGACGCAATAAAGTCTAGCATTAAGACACAGGTCATTGGGTGCTACGCGCGCACCAATGTCGGTCATTTGAAGGCAGTCACCCACGCCCCACAATGGCCAAATCCACGCCAGCACAAAACTTATGAATCGCTATCCCAGCTACAACATTAATCTTGACGCGAATTTAAAACTTTTTTACTGAATATAAGTTATATGAGACATAAGTTCAATATGAGTTATTGTACTCCTACAGCATACGTGAAGATTTTCTTATTGATATCATAGTTCCTACGCCGCATGTGAACTTTTGATTCACCGGTATTAAATAATGAAGCATTAATATTTTGTAACAGTTGCTTACAGTCAGGCGGCAAATGATTATTATGCATGAAAAATATATAATAATATAAGTAAAAAGTATTATATACACATTTAAAAAATGATCAATAACTATTTACATAGGATTTATCATTAAGAACGAATGCTACAGGATTATCAACATGCCTCGAGTTCGATGAAGCTGCGTCCACTAATTCTGCAATACTTTATAACGAGCAAAATAATATAATTGGAGGGTATAACGACTACAACCTCCAGCAATATTTTCTCACATTCTCATCTCTAGCGCTGGTCTCTGCCCCGTCGCCCCAGCGACACTAATTAACGGAGCCTAAAAATTTTGATAGCATCGCTGTTTTCGTGGTCGTCCTTTGTCGGACGACGAATTTAGGGCAAAAGTTATCTGTGTTTTTCTACAATTTTTCTCGCTCGTAAAAATCAGAGTTTGTATAAATTTTCGGTTAGTTAGGTTCAATAAATTTTTCATGGCGGTATCCGAGATTTTTCTTTTATAAGTATTTCAGCCCTGAGATAGTTAGAGTCGTTGTTGTGAATTACTGTCTCAATAAACCAAGATAAACTTTAAATACTCTAAAAGTACAATCAAATTAATCAAATTGTTTAGCTAAATAGCAAGATAATAATTACATATTAAATCGCATTAAATGATTATAAAATTTATAAAAATAAATTAACTATAAATTTAAATAAATAAATGATTATATATTTTTAGTATAAACATGTGGTGATCGACTTCGTCTGCCTTCCATGGAAAGAAATTTTTTTGCTCATCTTTACGGAGTGCTACAATCTCTCATGACGGCATAAAATTGCGCTGAAAATATGTTGGATTTATCTCATCTGCATCTTTTATTATTATTTTTTTAATTTTGTACCACGAAAGAGAAATAAATGCTGTATTAATGTATTTCGTTTTGAAAAAAAAAAATAGGAAACTTTTGAGAAATATTTCTACCATATTTTTTTCAGACTACCTCAAAACCTCACCAGAAAATTCAATCATGTATGGGAAAACATAATAAGGCCGAAGTCTCGCACAATATTACAGATGTATTCCACAGCCACGAGCCTCTCAGGAAAGTCTATGGAAGAAAGTTTATAAGGCACTGTAACGATGTTGGTTCCATTAGATGAGCTGAACTTTGACCAGCGAAGTCCGAATTATCATTTATATTAGGCTCAAAGAAATACAAAAGTTCCGCAATCCTGTCTATAAACGAAGTAATTTGGATCAAGGAGCAAACGCACCTCATGAACCTAACAAAAATGAAAATTTTCAATTAAAATTTTACTTATTCCTGAAAAAAAAAGATTTGTTACCTGCATTATCAGATTTTACTGTAATATTATATTTAATTTAGATAACATCCCTCTTTTTAATTATGAAATACTGTAAAACATGAACTTCAGACGGTTAGAGTTTCATCGGAAATTCAAATTAATTACTCAGAGAACGAATTTTTAGCTTAAATTAATCTTCACTCACTACTGACTAGGACTATGAAAAATACAATAAATACGTTGATGATTTCATCTTAAGCGTTGACATTTATAAATTTTCAGCTAAAAGTGGATACATTTATCAATAAGTGAGAGTTCTGGTATGTCTTTTTTGATGAGAGTACATGACGATCAATAAGTGTGATTTATTAATTTTCGGCGTGAATTTCGTCTGTAGGATGAAACGTTAGAGCAGGACTCAACTGGCGAATGCCCGGACAATAAAAGATTTCTTGTGTCCCTACATACATGCAGTGCTTCGTGTCAAATCGATGTGTCAATTATGCATTAATCCGAGACAACTGGATATATAGAAAATATCGGAAACCATTGTGACATCAAATATATGACTCAAAATTAAATGCCTAATCTAAATTTTACGATATGTTTTTGAATAGCTTCTCGTTTCCAAGAAAAAGAAGAGAGACAATGCAACCATCGTAAAAATATAATCTATTTCTTCGACAGCAAAAGTGGGAAGTCAAAATAGAAGGGGGCGTTTTCAGAATCTTCGTCTTACCCAACCAATTAATAAAAAAAATGCTACAGATTCGGATCATGATGGTCGGTTGCAAAAGTGGTTGTCTCAAAACTTGCATGCACCAACATAATAATGTAGATTTTCTGTGAAGCTATCAAGCTCAACCATCCATCTATTCGATCGAGCAGCACTCTGC